CACCTTAGTAGAAAATCGCTTCCTGTCTCGTAAATTGCGACCAAAGTCAAAAAAATTGAATTTTTAGACGTAAATTTACGTGGGTCCCGTCTGTGTTACGGAAATTTACGTCCCGAAAAATTTCCTGATGTAGTATATTAGAAGTAATCGGTCAAAAAATTTCACCAGATAATGATTCGGATAATGATTCTGATAATAATTCCAATATAGAAATTGTAGATTTAACCAGTCCAAATATCATTTTTGATGATGATATTGCTATGAATATGTACCTGAAGATGAACTTATTATTGAACAATCTAAACGCAGAAAAATTTGTATTAATACACCACAAGACTGCACCAATCTTGAAAATTAGGTTAAAGTAGCACTATATTAATCAATGAATCATTATTGGAAAGTTTCACAGGAACAAGGGATGTTGACCGCTTTATTGAATTCACGATTTAAAGAACTTGAATTTGCCTCTGATTTATTACGTATTAGAATCCAAAAATGATTAAAAGATGTTTATCAAAATATGAAGAATTTAACTAATGATGAAGATCAAGAAGCTGAATTACAACTAGTTTCATCTAATTCATTATTGACAAGAATATTTCAAAATAATGTTGTTTACGTTGATGAAGTAGCTAATTATTTAGCTCTACCCCAAGTTCATCTCAATAATTGTCCTTTATTATAGTGAAAAAATAATAAAACTCGATTTCCAATATTATCAAAATTAGCGAAAAAGTATTTGACTATTCCTGCTACCTCTACCCTAAGTGAAAGACTCTTTAACGAAGCTGGTAATGTAATGACTCTAAAAAGAATACAAATGTTACCAAATACATAGAAAATTTAGTTTTTTGTAAAAAGAATTGATATTTGGTTGAAGGAGTTTTTCCATTAAATTAAAAAATTAATTTGATTAAATCTTTTTTATTATTAATATATATATATAATTAATATAATAGTAAATAATTAATATCAGATATAATAATAGCACCAGGAAATTTTTTGGGCGTAAATTCAATTTTTTGACTTTGGTCGCAATTTACGAGACAGGAAGCGATTTTCTACTAAGGTGTTTCTATGACAGATC